GGTCTAATGCAACAATTTTGTCCCAAATGGCACAAGCACCAGGAGCTATAGTCAAATGGAATGAGGCGACCATCATAAATCCTTTATCTTCTCCATCTTTGGCGTTAACAGCGGAAAAGTTGCAGATTTATAGGAGTAGATTACAAGAAGGCTGTCTGAATGCGAGGGACGCAGAAAGTCTTCCCTCTGCATGGAAGTTTATGGTTAAGAAGTTTAATAAGGGCTCTAACCAATCAATATAGTAGTTTTATTGAATGTCTTAGTAATTGCATTTATTAATACTTATATATTCATTTGTTGCATTTTTATATATTTTTTATATTTTATTTTTGTTGTATGTTGGTTATTTAATATTTTATTTTAATTGTACCTTATTTAATTTTGAATTTAAATTTTGTATTCCATTGATGGAATTCTAATTCAAATGTATTCTAAACCTGAAGATGGCCTGTGAATCAGGCTGAAAACGTTAGTTTGTTCAAATAAATTATATTTCTCGGCAAGAATAAGGTGTTAAGTATTTGTATATGTATTAAGAAATATTTGAAAAGGTAGTTATTTCAATATAACTGATATAAATTGAAATTACAGAAATTCGATAAAAATTTTAATTTCAAATATCATAAAATTTTGAAAAAAATATTTATTAAAATTTAAAGAGATAAAAATAATTTATTTGTGTAAATAGTTTAATACATGTGAAACCTATAAAAGATATTTCTCCAGAAACTGATAAATAAAAACGTTAAATAAAACCGAATGTATAATCAATAGAATTTAAGTACTTTATTGATACTAAAGTTTTTCAAAACATATAAATAAGTTGAATTTACAATAGATTAACATAACCGCAGTAAAATCATTTAACGAAACCGTCTCTGGAACCAGTCAATTCAATATTGTTAATGCGACTCAAAGACAATATGCATTTGAGGATTTGTATCCTGCCACTTTATACAACGTCTCTATAGAAGCAAGTACATCGGCGGGATATGGAAGTCCTTTAAACGTGCAGTTTACAACAAATCATTCAGGTATTAGTGAAGTTTTATGTATCGATTACATTGTAAAGGAAAGAATATTTAATTCGCACTTTTTATTTCAGTACCGATTATAGAAGTGGAGCCAGCGGTATTAGAAGTAACAGATTCTACCATTGGTTTATTAATAAAACCAATTAAATTCGACAAGGGACCTATTAGGTAAATCCAATCCATAACTTTTACGAAGTTAATAATTTACAATTTTTATTTTAAAAAATTGCTTATTTATTTATTGTTTCGATAGAAATATTTGTATATTCAATTCCCGATATACTACCAGGAAACGTTTTAGAAAAGTTGGTCGTAAATCGAAATATCTTGTGACGTCAAAATTTTATTTGGGTACAAACCCGTACAAATTCCACAGGATCCGTTGCAATTTAACAAATTTTTGAAAATCCGAGATTTTTAGTTGGAAAATATATTTTTGTTTTAATTTTGTTTGAAAGAAATGCAGTAATTAATGGACAGAGTAAAATAATTAAAAATATGTTAGAGTCTAATTCACACCAATGACGTTTCTAAAGTTTTAAGCCGAAACAAACTCCTCTATGCACAACACGTGATCCAAGGTTTATACTAGATGTTATATGTTTTTTATATTACACTGCAAAATCACACGCGACAACACACACACAACGCGCGCGAAAAGGAATGCATAATGACTTGTTTTAAGTAAATTACTTATTATCACAATGTTTGTCTATTCACTGGAATTCCAAATTCAAGCAGTCAAAACCGAAACCAAAACTAACTTTATTAATGTCTGCAACAATATAGTTTAATTTAAATTAACAAACGAATAATTATATTTCAATTGACGTTTTCAGTGAATATCACGTGATTGTAGAACGAAAAGGCAGACTAAAGAAAAGAGAAATTAAAATAGAAGAAAAAGAATTAATTAACTATAATACTTCTGTGAATACGAGTATAAATTACTATTCGACTGCAAGATTCTATCCTCGTCAACTCCATTCTGAAGGCATAAACTTTACCGTTGGAGATGGGAAAACGTATAACGATTTTTACAATGCACCGTTAATTACAGGAGAAAATTATCAATTAGGAATGGCTGTTTTAAGTAATTATAATGGGGTAAGATAATTCCTCTTGTAAAATTAATCATTATTATTTACGTATGTTATTAGTAAATAAAATAAATTAAGCTATATGTTACTTTATTAAATGTCAAAGTTACTAAATAAAATAACTCATTTAAAATTACATTGTATCCAGATTATTTCGTATATTGAAAAATCGTGATTTTCGATAAAATATACTCATAAGAATATCAAACAATTTATTTCATATTAATAGAATAAATTATAAAAAAATATAATTTAATTATTTATTACTCAAATTAAAATATCTGTATAAAATGACTTTTCATTAGTGATGTAACGAATATTCGGTTACTACAGTATTCGGTATTCGGCCGAATACAGAATATTTAATCACTATTCGGCCAAATACCGAATACCTAAAAACGGGAGTAAGAAATAAGAAAAACACAGTAAATTAATCATTTTGGTATTTAGATTTAATGTTAACGAGTTAGTGTTTGTTTATATTTATTTATAACTTATAACATTCATAAATTAAAAAAGAACGTAATATTAGTCACTTGTATTTACAATTTATAATTACAAAGATCAGCACACGTACACACTTATTCGTTCGAGAATCGTCGCACATCTGAGCGTCTGACCCTGCCTATCCTTCTTTTTAAGCGCTCGTCTTTGCTCTTCCCTTTCTCTTTCCTCTATCGCTCTAGTCCACGCATGCTTATGCATACATCATAATACGCCCTCACGATACTTTCGATTCGTGACTTTTCCGTCGTAGATTTCCCATTTTACATATACGTGACTCATAGCCTGGTGATAACGGATAAAAGAGACAGATAGGACGTCAGTATAAGTCACAGTTATGATTTCACAGATTCGAAACAGCTTGGTAGCCCGAACGACCCCAGGCTTTCGCCCGTGCACGCTAAGTGACTTTCATTACAAGCATTTAGCTTTCCGAAGTCTATGATAACAATTGTTTGGCATTCACGGCCGCGAATTTCGCGCAATAAGCTGCTTCGACTCGTTCGATTATATTATCAACTCAATTTCATATTTATTTTCACATTTTCACTTTGCGGTCCTTCTCCGTTCTTTTTCCGTTATTTACACGTGCAGGTTATTACATTGTTATCCACATTTGATATCATCACTTATCACATACTGCCATGACGCTCTTGTCTGAACTGTCAAGAATTAACGCGATTGGCGAAGCGTAGTGACAGCGGGCCAATAGAAAGCAGGGTTCTTGCCATAATGCGGTTTGCGCGCCAATTTTCATACGTGCGTTAATCGAGCCGAATAGTTTGGCCGAATATTCGACTATTCGGCCACGCTCCTGGCCGAATAGTCGAATATTCGGTATTCGGCCTGAGGCCGAATATACTATTTGTTGCAACACTACTTTTCATAAAGCCATATACTGTACATGACTTTAAAAAGTTAGATAAAAAATGGCTAGCAGTGTCATAGTTTTAAAAGTTGAATGGTATAAACAGGTATACGTGTGTGTGCATATAAAATGTGTGGAATATTCTGTGCTATTCCTAGGTATATCTTAGTCAAAGACGTAACACTCGATGTTTCTTTACTTGTCTTAGCTTTATAAAACAAAATTGATTTGCATGGGTGGAGCGTAGTACCTCGCTTTTCTGTTTAACACTAACACTCCATCACAAATATTTCCATTTAATTAAAACGGGACATAATAGATTTCTTGAAGAATGTACAGTACTTATACGTACTGTACTTATACGTACTGTACATTCTTCAAGAAATCTATTGGATACTGTACATTATATAATCATAATGGAATCTTTTTATTCAAATATTCACTTTAATTTTTCTTAACATTTATAGGAAAGCTGCAGTTCTGCAGCTGTACAAATTCCTGGTTGATTTTCGGCTAAATTTTCAAATTTGCAGACCTATAAATTTCCACTGTCATTTGTCTGTCCGTTCGTTCTTCCTTAATCTCGATAACAGAGGTAGATAGATAAAAATCGAGATCAGATATGGCTAGCTTAGGAGCCTGAGCACCCGATTAATAGCCCACCAGTGGACGATTAGATAAAATCACTGAACACTGGTCGTGGGTTCGTGCCCCGCCAACGGGGTGGCCACTTTTCCGGGTTTTCTTCAAGTTAATAACGCCTAAATAGGGACCATTTTTCCAAAAAAGTTCTCCCGAAAGGAATTTCTTCCTCATTAGATCGCCCTTGCGTCTCGTTGCTGTAGGCCTACACAAATAAATTTAATGACAGTGCTTTTTCTTTTATATGACATTTGTTTTATAAGCTTTTTCAAAATTTTTAGCTTAAAATTTCTTATAAAAAATATAATACATTTATATAAACACTAAATTATTAATAAAATTAACTCATTTTTTTAAATTTGATGAATTATTATATTATTTTACGTATTTAATGTTTCCTCAAAATTGTAATTTTGAAATTTAATTTTAATTATAGCATTTTTAAAATTTGATTATTTAATTATGTAGAAAATACTTATTGGATATAAATATTTATCCGATGTTATAAAAGGTATGTACAGTTTTTACTAATTTATAAATAATATATTAACATTAATTTAAATATCTATTTTGTATGATTGTTAATTATTAATTTCAATTTATAGTCGAACGTTTAATGAGTAAAGGAACAGATAAAAGTTCTTTAATAGGTNAACCCATGACGGACATACTATAATATGTGATCGTAATATAGTGATATCACAGATAGCCTCACTACTTTTAAGTTTTCTTAAATTGTTAATTTCAGTTATTTACTTATTTTGCTACAAAGATAAATAAATAACAAATTGAGATTGACTTTTTATTGTTGAACGTGTAACCTCAGCTCTTCATCACTGTAACAAGCAGTTATCAATGCATCTAATCAAAGTATTTCTTGGAAGTATAAGGATTCATTCGGCCACTAAAGCCAGCAGAGCAAATGTTCTTTTCTACTCAACTGCATATCCAGTCAAAAGGTCACACTTAGCACTCTGATTTTTTCGTAATATTCCTCACTCACAGCTAGTGTAAAAATTGGGAAAGGTATTGTTGTGCGTCTAGTTACGAAGCGGACTATAAATTAACGCAACAAACACCTCCAGCAATAGCTGATGAATTTATTTTGTTGATTCACAAAATAAAGTTGAACAAAGTAATACATAGATGCAGGGTACAGCCCTGAAATAACACAAAACCAAGATCAGCCTCATAGCAAAAGCACATTGGCCTAACAAACACTAACAACCATTTTTGTAAAATGGCGTGCAAAAACAGGAGCACCCCCTCTCGATCACTTTTATTTAAAGAAAAATAAAAATAAATAAATATCGTCTGCTGGCCCAAACAGCATCCTTATTTAAATCATCCAGTTATTTCCTTTCATTAGCCTTAAAACTAGCCCGATGGATTTACGGCATATGTTTGGTGATTATTTATGTTATGCCATTATTCATTTTACCATCTTGATGTAAAAATANTTACGAAGCGGACTATAAATTAACGCAACAAACTCCTCCAGTAATAGCTGGTGAATTTATTTTGTTGATTCACAAAATAAAGTTGAACAAAGTAATACATAGATGCAGGGTACAGCCCTGAAATAACACAAAACCAAGATCAGGCACATAGCAAAAGCACGTTGGCCTAACGAACGCTAACAACGATTTTTGTAGAAAGGCGCGCGAAGAGAGGAATATTTCTTGATAGTTTCACTAAGACCAGTAGATTTAGATCTAACCATGCCATTTGCAAATTGTGAGGAGTGAGTCTTGCACTCAGATAATTCATTAGAAAATGTAAGTTTTCAACAGTTGAATCACTAATAAACAGTTTTTTTGCATAAGAGATTATTCCACCAAACCATTCCACCATAGTTTCAGTGAACACAATTGGTGTAAAAGCACTCCACGAGTAATCAGATCAGCAACATTCTCCATAGAAGAAACATGATGCCACCATGCAATATTAGTATCCTGAATTTCAGAGACCCTGTTTGTAACAGAGGTTTTCAATTTAACTGGAGATGAATGCAACCAACAAAGAACAATAGTAGAGTTACACCATAAGTGAATTTGATCCAATTTACTTAATTTTAATGAAGACAAAACTCTCTACAGCAAACGAGAATAATAAAGCACCACACAGCTCTAATCTAGGGAGAGGTTGTTGCTTAATGTGAGCCAGTCTAGACACTTCGACTAGCGACAGTCACAATCCAGATTGTAGGTAAATCAAGATCGAAGTGAGTCGTGGCTTGTGTGCGAATGTAGTATTAGCCCTTACAAATAGTACATCTAGCCCTATACTTTGAAAATGCATGGTTCCCCTTTAAACAACAAAAACAGACGTTCTTGCTTCGAAGAAATTTGTTTTTCCTCAATACTAATTGCATTGAATTGTCTACATTCTCGCAATGCATGTTTAGATTTATTACGGTATTTGCAAATTTCACTATTTACACTAGTAGTGAATGATTTACCAACAGTTAATTTGGTTTTGTTTTCTTTTATTCAATTAGCTTTGCTTCTAAATTCAATGATTTCTGTGCTTTATACTACGTTCGCACACAATCCACGACTCACTACGATTTAATATCATTTACCCGTGCCACTTCGGAATTAGACCATGTCCCCGACGCCAAAAGACGAAGTCTCCCCGTGCCTTACGTACTTGTCAACGCCCAGTGTCCCAGGACCACCTTCGATCGACGATCAAAGAACCACATCGAAGCCCAGGACGTCCGAACACCTGATTGTCCTAAAGCAAACTATTTTGTACTGTATGTACTGTACATAGTATGTGTTTATTTTATGTTAAAATAAACGGTTTTTGTCAGATACTTATCGTCCGTCTCCTCCGCGACCACACACGTACGAATGGACCTTAGACCATCACTGACGAGCAATTAACTGATTGCCCCTGGAAGACCGCTTCCCTACTATCAAATGTCACTGCACGCCACTGCTTAATTGTGATTCTAGAGAGTGGTAACTTGTTATAAATTCTTCCCTATCTGTATAAAGTTATTCCAGTTCTTCAGAGTTTATTTCGAGTTGATTTTGAATATGATCGTATTCTTCCAAAATTTTAAGCAAGGAAGTTAGCCTTACTCTGACTTCCTGCACATTGCCCTTTTCTGAATCGAAATTGTCCAGGAATTTTTGAATATAAGACAGTTTACTTTTTGCTATGCCTCTAATTTTGATAGCCTTTCTTTCGTCGAATGATTCAATGGCGGCCATTGTAACAAAAATAGCAAAAATATGGAAAAGAAATAGGAAACGATTTAAGGGTAAGAGAAATGATAAGTGTTGGCAGACTTACCTTAACTCGTAGCTGTATATCGAAAGTCGGAAAAAAAAACAAGATGGCGGCCACATCCGCCTCGACGAATCAAAAGATGTTGTGCGTCTAATTACGAAGTGGACCATAAATTAACGCAACAAACATCTCCAGCACAAAAAGCTGTGAATTTATTTGTGGATTCCCAAAAAGTAGAACAAATTGATACACACATTCAAGGTTCAGCCCTTAATTAACATAGAACCAACATCAGGCACATAAAAAAACCACGTTTGCCAGACGAACAACCGTTTTAAAAAGCGCGCGAAGTAAGAGAGCGCCCCCTCTTGATAGTTTTTATTTAAAAAATAAAATAAAATAAAATATCGTCTGCTTGTCCGAACGGGTATATTTATATGAAACGACAGACATTATAGGTGTGCGAATTCCATTAAACAATTTTTATTAAATTTATTATTTAAAAATGAAATTAATGTTTGTTACCATCTTATCTTTGGTTCTCTGCTATTTCAAATATTTTACTATGTTACAATCATGTTTTGACATGTAGTTATATAGATCCTTAATCATACTTTTGTTGAAATTGGCATCGAGTTCTTCACGGTTTTTGCAGCGTTCAGTTTTATATCTACACTTATCTACACTTCAACAAGATTTAAGGTGTTTACTATTATATTTAAATCTGAATTTCTTGCAGGACAATGCGCAACATCTTTGGACTAGAAGCACTGGATGGCTTGTATGACTTTATGTATTGACGAATTATCCCGTGCCTTATCTATATCTGTTTTTCTTCTTTTGCAGTTCTGCCCATGGCTTATAGGAGAAAGGCATTCTGGAAGACCTTCACACCAGCACTATTGATTATTTTTTTGATTTTGAAGTTTCTCATTAAAATGACCGCCTTTAAATTCATAAGGGTTTCTCCATACTTTGATTGTTGAATGCAACATATCTGAGAATATATAAGTACGAGTTATCTGAGACAATAATATAGTATCGAGATACACAAACGTGATTTTATGACGTGTAGTAGCGGCATAAATTTATAATTAATACACAATCGGGCTTAATTTTTACCTATTAGAAGACTAGAAAGAGTGTTGTTTTTCTGTATTAGTAAGAAAGAAAACGTCAAAAAATTAGTCCGATTCATTAAATAATCTCGGCCTTGATTTAATGATATTTTGATGAATTTATTTTTTAATTTTTAGATGACGAGGCTCGCGTAGTTTCACAAATTTGCGGAAATGGTTCCCATTCAGACTACATTAATGCAAATTATGTTGATGTAAGTATATACAGAATGTTGTTATTGTTATACATTGTAAAATATCTCTTACAGAAAATATCCAGATATATTGATGACTAAATCTATAATATAGTTATTATTTCTAATCTTAGCAAAAGATTAAACATAAGAGTCATCTTGAGCTGAAAAAATCTGTCAGATAAAAGGGATGGAAGTAGACATGGGAAGTTTAATTATAATATTATAATATTATAATTAAACTTCCCATGTCTACTTCCGCGAAATTATAATATTAAAAAATTATTTTCATTATTAGTTAAATTTGTAGTGTAACTTATGTGAAAATTAAAGTTTATTTTAGAAAACCTAGACAATATTTATTGAAATTAGTAAATTAAGTCATAATTCTCAAATTTTCTTTCATATGTAATTTGTATCTTTAACTCTTATTTCAATTTCAGGGATATAAAAGACCAAAAAAATATATAGCCACTGAAGGTGATATATTTTAAAAATAAGAAGAAATTTTACTTTTATTTTATTCAGATGCAATACATCAATTTTTTTTTCTTTTTAGGACCGAAGCAGACGACAATTCATGATTTTTGGAGAATGATCTGTGAAGAGAATGTTTGTAAAATAGTCATGGTCACTAATCTAGTGGAAAATGGAAAGGTATCTTTCAATAATAATAATAATAAATTTTAAAAGATCATTTATTAAAATAAAAGTAAATGCTATTGATCTAATGTTTTAAATTATTTTCTGATTGTATAAAGTATGAGAGTGGTAATAATGAAACTTTACGCATTCAAATGTTAATTCTTTGTTTTAATTTGTTCTCTAACTTAGAAGCAATTAGAGAAATTATAGAGATTTTAGTAATTAAACGGAACACTACTCTGCTAATTCGTGAAAAAAAAACAATTGTTGCATATGATTTTCTTTCATAAAAATTGCAAATTTATAATTAGCTTGGCATTCTGATTTACATTCTAATCGCCACAGTTGAACAAGTTAATTTAATGAATGTGTTTTCTGTAAATCGAAAAATATAGATTTATAATTTGGTTTCTTTATTTTCATAAAAAAATAACGAATTTAGCAGAATTTTATATCTGCTTGTGTAGATATAATATTACATTTAATATTAAAGTATGTAAGTATGTGCTTGAATGATATTGTACAAGCGTGATTTATGATCTCAAGACATATAAAACTTAAGGAAATGATTATAACAGAAATTTCTTCAGAATGTATTACTTTATATATTTAAGAAAAATAACATTGTACATATTATAATTTCATTAATAAAGTTTGAATTCATTTTAATAAATCATAAATTTTTAAATATTTCAGATAAAATGTGAAAAATATTGGCCCGAAACTGAAGAAAATTACGGAAACATTAACGTATCGTTAAAAGATAAGGAAATTTGTTTAGATTATGTCGTTAGAACGTTTCTTATTACCCAAGTAAGTACGAATTCTATATTACTTTTCGCTTTAATTTACTTAATATTATAAATGACTTTGAACATTAATTCGTAGGGAAAACGAACGTGGATATTGAAACATTTTCATTACATAACGTGGCCCGATCACGACGTACCCAGATTTACAAATTCGGTTGTTTCATTTTTACAAAAAGTCAGAAATTTTAAACCAAAGAGCAATTCTCCTATTGTTGTGCATTGTAGGTAGGTTTATATATTTACAAATTATTATACGGATATTATTTTTTATAGAAATTACAGAATATCAATATTAAAAGCACAAAGAATGCTCATTAAACTTTTTTGCATTTAACAACTTCTAGAAAAATGTAAATAATAATCACTGTAATTTTGACTTAAATTGCCTTGAAAGATAAATACTGTACAGTACATTAATTAATAAAGTAAAATGTTAGAAAAGCGAAGAAATATAACGACTGACCATTACTTTTCCTAAAAATACAGTATCAACACGCACATAAAAAATATATGCCTATACAGATACCTAAATAAAGTCTTAGATCACTTAGAATTCAGTAAATACCACCTTGAGGTGGTAATTACTGAATTCAATATTATATATTTGGTACATTATATAAATATATACTTATTTACTAATTAATTTCTAGAAGTTATTAGATCTAAAAAAGACAGTTTATAGCCTATAATTGTAATATTATTTGAACTTATATATTTTAGTGCAGGAGATGGAAGAACTGGAACTTTAATTCTGTTAGACAGCATGTTAGATATGGCATATTCAGAAGCCAGAGTAGATCTAGTTTCTTATCTTACCAATATGCGGCAACAGCGAATAAACATCGTGGAAACTTACGTAATACTATTTATATATACAAATTTGAATTAAATCTTAAATTGAAACGAAGTATCGTTAACGTAAAAACATTTGATATTTTTTAATAGGCGCAATATCGTTTCGTGTATCGAGCATTAGCCGATTGTCTATGCGAATTTAAAACATCGATTCTATGCTCTGATTATAACGAAGAAATCGACAGATTAAAGAAAGTTAATGCCTCGACAGGAAAAACAGGTTTTCACATACAATACGAAGTAAATAAATTAACATATATTTTCCTTTTAAATTTATCGTTAAGTTATAATTTCAGGTCGTATTTAACTTACTACTACAATCAAACCTTTGAACAATGGCCATTGTTTGGAGGTTATTCTATATGTAGTCTTATTCAATAAGTTCCTAAAAAAATGGCCACTGTTTTGAGGACAGGTTTGGAGATTCGATTACATTAATATTCTTCAATGAAGAATTCATTATTTCAGAGCACTAATCTTATTTAAAATAATGTTTTTAATTTGAACACGTTAAATCTGATATCAGTAGAAACCTCCTATTTACAAATATGAAATTTTTATATA